AAATGTTTTACATTTAAATAAAAGCACAAATTATTTTGAAGCTAACAGAGTTATTTACTAATGTGAGAATTCAAAGTGAATTCTAAATTCAAGGCCAAAGCAGATGAACTGAAATGGTAGCTGAGAATGTTTCTATTCCGCTATTTTACCCTTAAATTTGAAATTCACGTTGAATTCTCACTTTAAAGAATAACATTGTTTCCCTTTAACAACCATTTGGAGTACACAGTGTGAATATACAAATGCGTATTCATAACGCTATAGTGCCCTGGTGGCCATTTAGGTGACCAGCCCCCACTTACTTGTATTTCCTCACAGCGCCGGTACTAACGGCTGGCCCAGCCTCCTTGGCTGAGATCATTATTATCAAGAGGCTGCATTTTAACATGCTGGGAATTGCAGGGGCAACAATAGAAGAAGATTTGACTCAATAATCCCATAGACAAAAGGCTTTGATGCCACTTCCATGAGTTGAAAACAAAGTGATTATTTCTCCAAAACATGACCTGGTCCAGCTCTAAGCAACCATTATTTTTTTAATTTAATGTAAGATTTAGAGAAAATTTTAGAACAATGTAGAAATAAGTGTCACGTAGAATATAAAGGTATGTAAAATATAATGAAGCACAAATGTTAAGATTCAGTTTTGAATTCACAGCAGTTCATTGTTTAGTGAATAAACCCCCAAGTGTCACCTTACCCAGACTGGAAAAACTACTACAAGCCATTTCTAGTTTAATTTTAACTGGATAGGTCATACCCCTAATTCTGGGTGGAGCTATTTGGGAAGTACCAGTCTTCTGCTTTACAGTTAGATTTGTGGCAAAGACTTTTCTAAAAGTGTCTCAGACTATAGAGCAGCTGTTGCACGATATCATTACATGTTTTAGCAAGTGTTATTCTGCAAAGTATTTCTGTTTGTGGTAGCCATCATTTGGGGCTGTTAAAGTTATTTTAAACTGCTGGTTGTGAAAATATACACTGCGTTAGCATGTGGTCCAAGTGTCCTTCTTTAAGGCGTTAGTCTCTGTTTGGCAACGAGTCTATCTAGCTCACCATTTTGCTCAGATAAACTGCAAAGACCCCTGACAGTGGCATCACCTCTGGGGGGTCCGGTGGCTACCAGGAGCTGATGTCACTGGCATCACAGCTGGGCGGTCCGGTGGCTACCAGGAGCTGATGTCACTGGCATCACCGCAGGGGGGTCCGGTGGCTACCAGGAGCTGAGGTCACTGGCATCACAGCTGGGCGGTCCGGTGGCTACCAGGAGCTGATGTCACTGGCATCACCGCTGGGGGGTCCGGTGGCTACCAGGAGCTGATGTCACTGCCCCTTCTCCCTCCACTCTAATTGAATACACCACTCTAATTTAGGTCTATGGAGAATCCCGTGAAAAGCCGATTTAAGAGGTTAAACTTTAATTCTCTCTGAGTTGAAGGAAAAAAAAACCCACACACAAACACATAAGATTATAGAGACTATGTTAACAATGGGTATTTCTATTTGGTGTCAATCTAGTAAAGGTACCAAACATACAAGACAATCATGTTACAAGGATCATTTGAATTGAACGATTTATTCCATTTAAACTACTATTAGCTCACTAACAGTAGACACTAAGAGTTAAAAAGAAACCATATATATATATATATATATATTTATATAGCGTCTCCTCTTTTAGTATAGAAGTTGGTTATATCTTCAGCTTATCCTCCTTTTAGGGTATGAGCGTTAGAAAATTGATTAAGATGGAGACTTGGGGAATGTGTTTGTTATAGGGGAAATTGCGTAAGAGCGGGGATGAGGACAATATGTTGAGGACATTGACAGTTATAGGGTAATACCTGTATTGTGTTATATTAGTATAATAATATATTGTTAAATGTTAAGCAAATGGAATGCGAGGAGGATAATGTGGAAGCTTTATGGGTAAATATCTGCTTGGTGGAAAAGAAGGGAAACCATCTATTGGTTGTGATATGTTATAAACCACCTAATGTTAATATTGACGAGGAATAACAGCTGTTTGAGCAAATTGAGAAAGCTGCAAATCTGGGTAACACTTTAATTATTGGAGATTTTAATTACCCTGATATAAATTGGGACAGAGGGACTAGTGCCTCATCAAAGGGAATTAGGTTGTTAAATGACACCTTCATGTCACAACTTGTACAAGCACCAACTAGAATGGATCCTTGTCTGGACCTGGTTTTAACAAACAACGTTGATCTTTGACCAACATTCAAGTAGGTGAGCACTTGGGAAATAGTGATCACAATATAGTGTCCTTTGAAATAAACTCAAAAAAACAAAAGCACATGGGGAATACTAAAACATATAATTTTAAAAAGGCCAAATTCAATAAGTTAAGGGAAGCTTTACAATATATTGACTGGCATAAACTCTTTTAGTGAAAAGAACACTGAGGATAAATGGATCATCTTCCAACAAATATTACAAAGGTACATTTCTCAGTATGTACCGTTGGGAAATAAATATAAAAGAAACAAATTAAAACCAATGTGGCTTAGTAGAGAAGTAAAACAAGAGATTACAACTAAGAAAAGGGCATTTAAAGCATTTAAATCTGACAAATCAGATGCATCTTATAAAAGATATAAGGAAGCAAATAATGCGTGCAAAAAGGCAATTAGACTTGCTAAACTTCAAAATGAAAAAATGATAGCTAAAGAGAGCAAAACCAACCCCAATGCATTTTTAAGTACATAAATTCTAAAAAAAAACAAAAATTAAAGTGTAGGTACACTAAAAACTGAAACGAGGGTGTTAGTTAATGAAGACCAGGAAAAGGCAGGAATTTTAAATAACAATTTCTCCTCCGTATATATTAAGAAAGAACCCATGGCAATATATGTGCAAATGATTGCTACTAAAAACTTGCAGAATAATTGTAATTGGTTAACTCAAGACAAGGTGCTGCAGCAACTAAAGAAAGTTAATATAAAAAAAGCTCCAGGGCCTGACTGTATCCATCCACGTGTACTTAAGGAACTAAGTGCAGAAATAAGTGAACCGCTGTTTTTAATATTTCAAGATTCTTGTCTTTCAGGAAGTGTTCCGGAGGATTGGAGGAAGGCAGATGTGTTTCCTATATTCAAAAGGGTTCAACATCCTTGCCTGGAAATTATAGACCTGTGAGCTTAACTTCTG